CGTCCCTACTTTTTTTAAAGGTATCTGTGACCAACAGATGCATATCTGTATTCCCAGATGTGAAATCCATAGATTAGGGCCTAATGAATTTATTTATATTGACTGATTTCCTTATATGAACTGTAACTCAGTAAAATGTTGTTGCATGTTGCGTTTTTATATTTTTGTTCAGTGTAACTTGAGCTCAGGCAGTCGTGAAGAGGGCACGACAAAGCCTATTCCCCCTCAGGAGACTGAAAAGATTTGGCATGGGTCCTCAGATCCTCAAAAAGTTCTGCCTCCTGACTTGTATGGCAAATGCTCGGCCTCCGACCGCAAGGCACTACAGAGGGTAGTGCGTACGGCCCAGTACATCACTGGAGCCAAGTTTCCTGCCATCTAGGACCTCTATACCAGGCGGTGTCAGAGGAAGGCCCTCAAAATTGTCAAAGACTCCAGCCACCCTAGTCATAGACTGTTCTCTCTGCTACTGCACGGCAAGCGGTACTGGTGCACCAAATCTAGGTCCAAAAGGCTTCTCAACAGCTTCTACCCCCAAGCCATAAGACTCCTGAACAGCTAATCATTGCTACCCGGACTATTTGCACTGCCCCCCCACCCCCCTCTTTTACGCTGCTGCTACTCTGTTTAGTATTTATGCATAGTCACAATAACTCTACCCACATGTACATATTACCTAAATTACCTCGACTAGCCGGTGCCCCTGCACATTGACTCTGCACCGGTACCCCCCTGTATATAGCCTCCCTACTGTTATTTTATTTTACTGTTGCTCTTTAGTTATTTGCTTAACTTTTTTTTTTACTTAACACTTAAATATTAGCTTTGTAAGAAGGCATCACATTTTTAGAAGAGCCCAGTTGTATATGCCGGCTTGTACATAATATGCCTGCATATCTCTCTGTGTTGGTGTGTGTGTGTGTGTGTGTAGAGCATTGTGGTGCGGGAGAAGCATAGGCTGTGTACTCTGATAGAGCAGCACAACGGGTTGCAGTGTGCCGTGAGGGCCAAGGGGTCTCAGCTGCTAGAGATGGAACAGCCCATGAAAGCCCTGGAGCTGGACTCCATACCGGACGGAGGCGAGCAGCACTACGACCAGGTGACACTATATAGGAGAAGAAAGGGTGTCATTTGACAGACTCAACTGTCCCCAAAAACTTAGAAGAAAGCAAGTGTCAAGGTGTAGCACCATGGACGGCACCACTCACACAGTTCTTACTGCTCAGTTTAGTTTATTAGGATCCCCATTAGCTACTGCACATGCAGTAGTTACTCTTCCTGGGGTCCACATAAAACATACAAATACATGACAAAGTACAGAACAGTAATAGACAACAAAAAATAAAATTCAAATAACAGTTATATATAGGAAAGACACCAAGAGACAACAAAAATAGTATTTACACACTATTCATATATATACAGTGAGTGAAAGAAGTATTTGATCCCCTGCTGATTTTGTACGTTTGCCCACTGACAAAGACATGATCAGTCTATAATTTTAATGGTAGGTTTATTTGAACAGTGAGAGACAGAATAACAACAACAAAATCCAGAAAAACGCATGTCAAAAATGTTATAAATTGATTTGCATTTTAATGAGGGAAATAAGTATTTGACCCCTCTGCAAAACATGACTTAGTACTTGGTGGCAAAACCCTTGTTGGCAATCACAGAGGTCAGATGTTTCTTGTAGTTGGCCACCAGGTTTGCACACATCTCAGGAGGGATTTTGTTCCACTCCTCTTTGCAGATCTTCTCCAACTCATTAAGGTTTCGAGGCTGACGTTTGGCAACTCAAACCTCCAGCTCCCTCCACAGATTTTCTATGGGATTAAGGTCTAGAGACTGGCTAGGCCACTCCAGGACCTTAATGTGCTTCTTGAGCCATTCCTTTGTTGCCTTGGCCATGTGTTTTGGGTCATTTTCATGCTGGAATACCCATCAACGACCCATTTTCAATGCCCTGGCTGAGGGAAGGAGGTTCTCACCCAAGATTTGTCGGTACATGGCCCCGTCCATCGTCCCTTTGATGCGGTGAAGTTGTCCTGTCCCCTTAGCAGAAAAACACCCCCAAAGCATAATGTTTCCACCTCCATGTTTGACGGTGGGGATGGTGTTCTTGGGGTCATAGGCAGCATTCCTCCTCCTCCAAACACGGCGAGTTGAGATGATGCCAAAGAGCTCGATTTTGGTCTCATCTGACCACAACACTTTCACCCAGTTCTCCTCTGAATCATTCAAATGTTCATTGGCAAACTTCAGATGGGCCTGTATATGTGCTTTCTTGAGCAGGGGGACCTTGTGGGCGCTGCAGGATTTCAGTCCTTCACGGCAAAGTGTGTTACCAATTGTTTTCTTGGTGACTATGGTCCCAGCTGCCTTGAGATCATTTGCAAGATGTAGTTCTGGGCTGATTCCTCAACGTTATCATGATCATTGCAACTCCACGTGGTGAGATCTTGCATGGAGCCCCAGGCAGAGGGAGATTGACAGTTCTTTTGTGTTTCTTCCATTTGCGAATAATCGCACCAACTGTTGTCACCTTCTCACCAAGCTGCTTGGCGATGGTCTTGTAGCCCATTCCAGCCTTGTGTAGGTCTACAATCTTATCCCTGACATCCTTGGAGAACTCTTTGGGCTTGGCCATGGTGGAGAGTTTGGAATCTGATTGATTGATTGCTTCTGTGGACAGGTGTCTTTTATACAGGTAACACGCTGAGATTAGGAGCACTCCCTTTAAGAGTGTGCTCCTAATCTCAGCTCGTTACCTGTATAAAAGACACATGGGAGCCAGAAATCTTTCTGATTGAGAGGGGGTCAAATACTTATTTCCCTCATTAAAATGCAAATCAATTTATAACATTTTTGACATGCGTTTTTCTGGATTTTTTTGTTGTTATTCTGTCTCTCACTGTTCAAATAAACCTACCATATAGACTGATCATTTCTTTGTCAGTGGGCAAACGTACAAAATCAGCAGGGGATCAAATACTTTTTTCCCTCACTGTACATATTCATATTCTTATATACAGTACAATTTAATGACATCTTTAGAAAAAGGAGAGGCGCTGTGGAGTTGGTGTGTGAATGGCCTTGTCCAAGTTGACATTGAGTGACCATGTCTTGTTAAGAGACCCAAGTCTAGGATGTCTAGGATCCAAGCATTTACGCTGCTCAGTCATTGGCTTGATGTGTTTTTTATTGTTGACATTTCTGTCTTCCTTGGCAGCGTGTGAGAGAGCTGGAGAACAGTCTAGAAAAGATGACCATCAAAATCACAGAGGCTGAGAGGATCCAAAAAACCTACCTGCGAGTCTGCGACCACCTACATCGGGTCAGTAACACTATCACATTCACAGATATCAGCCTTTCTTTGTGGACATTGAATTAAATTAAATTGTCAACATTGAATTCAAGTCTCCCTTGGGAGATATACTCCAGTCAGTGTAATCTCGATCAACAGACCAGTGTGACTAGGTAGTACTGGCAACGTGGCTCAAATGGCACACTATTCCCTATACAGTGCACTGCTCTTGACAAAAGGCCTATGGGCCCTGGTCGAAAGTAGTGCACTACAGAGCCATCTATTTAGATTGTTGGGCCAATGCGGTTTTTGGATTATGATGCATTTACATGACACTTCAATGTTCTATGGCAGCCATGTTAGCTCCCCATTAACATTACATAGGGAATATTTAAACAACGCTACAAATTAATGTCTAGAATTAGAACAATATTCTAAATTCTAAAAGTTGGCCTAACTCTCTAAATAAATGTAGGGAATAGGTGCCATTCGGGACGCAGACCAATCTAGCTCCAATGTAACCTGGGGTTGGGTTGTTTGTTCCTGGTTCAGGAGGTGCGTGTGATGCCAATGGCTCTGGATCAGCTGCAGAACTCAGTGGTCGGCGGGCAGACAGAGCTAGGAAAGGTGGCCCACATGTCTCATACCGCAGTGGCTGCTGTGGACTGCACTAAGGTAAGGCAAATCGGGTGGACCAGTAACTTTTAGCCACCGCTTGCCTATTGTGGGATTTTTACTTGTAAGTGCTATCAATGGTATTACATAACGTTACCTTGGATACATATCTTAGTATGATTGGAAAAAAAGAAGTGAAAAAAGGTCAGGCTCGTCTGAATACCAGCCATAATGTGTGTGTCTTTTCCCACTACAATAAAAGGATGTCTGTATGTCTTTTCCCACTACAATAGAAGGATGTCTGTATGTCTTTTCCCACTACAATAGAAGGATGTCTGTATGTCTTTTCCCACTACAATAGAAAGATGTCTGTATGTCTTTTCCCACTACAATAGAAGGATGTCTGTATGTCTTTTCCCACTACAATAGAGGATGTCTGTATGTCTTTCCCACTACAATAGAAGGATGTCGTATGTCTTTTCCCACTACATAGAAGGATGTTCTGTATGTCTTTCCCACTACATAGTAGGATGTCTGTATGTCTTTTCCCACTACAATAGAAGGATGTCTGTATGTCTTTTCCCACTACAATAGTAGGATGTCTGTATGTCTTTTCCCACTACAATAGTAGGATGTCTGTATGTCTTTTCCCACTACAATAGTAGGATGTCTGTATGTCTTTTCCCACTACAATAGTAGGATGTCTGTATGTCTTTTCCCACTACAATAGAAGGATGTCTGTATGTCTTTTCCCACTACAATAGAAGGATGTCTGTATGTCTTTTCCCACTACAATAGAAGGATGTCTGTATGTCTTTTCCCACTACAATAGAAGGATGTCTGTATGTCTTTTCCCACTACAATAGTAGGATGTCTGTATGTCTTTTCCCACTACAATAGAAGGATGTCTGTATGTCTTTTCCCACTACAATAGTAGGATGTCTGTATGTCTTTTCCCACTACAATAGTAGGATGTCTGTATGTCTTTTCCCACTACAATAGTAGGATGTCTGTATGTCTTTTCCCACTACAATAGTAGGATGTCTGTCTGTCTTTCACCACGAGTCAGCTGGTTCAGATGGAGAGGCAACTAATGGTGGAACGCAGGATGATGGAGAAGGAGTTGAGTGAAAGGAGGGGAGAGAAAGAGAAGGAGGTGGAGGGTCGGCTGGAGAGAGAGAGGGAGGGAGAGCGGCGAAGCAGAAAAGGAGCTCAGAAGTTGAAAGAGCAGGTGAGAGAGAAAGAGACAGAGGGAGGGAGGGAGGGAGGGAGGGAGGGAGGGAGGGAGGGAGGGAGGGAGGGAGGGAGCTGGACCTGTGGGGAATAGAGAGGGAGAGGGAGAAATAGGGAGAGAGAGAGGGATGGGCTTGTGGGGAACAGAGAGAAAGAGAGGGTAAGAGAGAGAGAGAGAGAGAGAGAGAGGGGGATGGACCTGTGTGGAACAGAGAGAAAGAGGGTAAGAGAGAGAGAGGGATGGACCTGTGGGGAACAGAGAGAAAGAGAGGGTAAGAGAGTGAGAGGGATGGACCTGTGGGGAACAGAGAGCGAGAAAGAGACAGAGGGAGAGAGAGAGGGAGAGGGATGGAACTGTGGGGAACAGAGAGATCAGAAGTTGAGGGAGGGAGGGAGGGGGCTGGACCTGTGGGGAATAGAGAGGGAGAGGGAGAAATAGGGAGAGAGAGAGGGATGGGCCTGTGGGGAACAGAGAGAAAGAGAGGGTGCGAGAGAGGGAGAAAGAGAGGGATGGACCTGTGGGGAATAGAGAGCGAGAGAGAGGGAGAGGGATGGAACTGTGGGGAACAGAGAGATCAGAAGTTGAAAGAGCAGTGAGTGAGAGAGAAAAAGGGAGACAGAGGGATGGACCTGTGGGGAAGAGAGAGAAAGAGGGATTTATTTTTATTTTTATTTTACCTTTATTTAACTAGGCAAGTCAGTTAAGAACAAATTCTTATTTACAATGACAGCCTACCCCGGTCAAACCCGGACGACGCTGGGCCAATTATGCGCCGCCCTATGGGACTCCCAATCACGGCCGGATTGTGATACAGCCTGGAATCGAACCAGGGTCTGTAGTGATGCCTATAGCACTGAAATGCAGTGCCTTAGACCGCTGTGCCACTCGGGAGCCCAGGGAGGGATGGGTCTGTGGAGAACAGAGAGAACGAGAGGGAGGGAGAGAGAGAAAATGTCTACTGTTTGCTGATGATCTGGTGCTTCTGTCACCAACCAAGGAGGGCCTACAGCAGCACCTAGATCTTCTGCACATATTCTGTCAAACCTGGGCCCTGACAGTAAATCTCAGTAAGACAAAAATAATGGTGTTCCAAAAAAGGTCCAGTTGCCAGGACCACAAATACAAATTCCATCTAGACACCGTTGCCCTATAGCACACAAAAAACTATACATACCTCGGCCTAAACATCAGCGCCACAGGTAACTTCCACAAAGCTGTGAACGATCTGAGAGACAAGGCAAGAAGGGCCTTCTATGCCATCAAAAGGAACATAAAATTTGACATACCAATTAGGATCTGGCTAAAAATGTGTTATAGAACCCATTGCCCTTCCATAACAAAGCCATCACCTACAGAGAGATGAACTTGGAGAAGAGTCCCCTAAGCAAGCTGGTCCTGGGGCTCTGTTCACAAACACAAACAGACCCCACAGAGCCCCAGGACATGTAGACCCAACCAAATCATGAGAAAACAAAAAGAGAATTACTTGACACATTGGAAAGAATTAACAAAAAAACAAAGCAAACTAGAATGCTATTTGGCCCTAAATAGAGAGTACACAGTGGCAGAATACCTGACCACTGTGACTTACCCAAACCTAAGGAAAGCGTTGACTATGTACAGACTCAATGAGCATATCCTTGCTATTGAGAAAGGACGCCGTAGGCAGACCTGGCTCTCAAGAGAAGACAGGCTATGTGCACACTGCCCACAAAATGAGGTGGATACTGAGCTGCACTTCCTAACCTCCTGTATGACCATATTAGAGACACATATTTCCCTCAGATTACACAGATCCACAAAGAATTTGAAAACAAACCCAATTCTGATAAACTCCCATATCTACTGGGTGAAATACCACAATGTGCCATCACAGCAGCAAGATTTGTGAGCTGTTGCCACAAGAAAAAGGCAACCAGTGAAGAACAAACACCATTGTAAATCAATTACAACCCATATTTATGTTGATTTATTTTCCCATTTGTACTTTAACTATTTGCACATTGTTACAACACTGTATATATACAGTGGGGGAAAAAAGTATTTAGTCAGCCACCAATTGTGCAAGTTCTCCCACTTAAAAAGATGAGAGAAGCCTGTAATTTTCATCATAGGTACACGTCAACTATGACAGATAAAATGAGAAAAAAAATCCAGAAAATCACATTATAGGATTTTTAAATGAATTTATTTGCAGATTATGGTGGAAAATAAGTATTTGGTCAATAACAAAAGTTTCTCAATACTTTGTTATATACCCTTTGTTGGCAATGACACAGGTCAAACGTTTTCTGTAAGTCTTCACAAGGTTTTCACACACTGTTGCTGGTATTTTGGCCCATTCCTCCATGCAGATCTCCTCTAGAGCAGTGATGTTTTGGGGCTGTCGCTGGGCAACATGGACTTTCAACTCCCTCAAAGATGTTCTATGGGGTTGAGATCTGGAGACTGGCTAGGCCACTCCAGGAGCTTGAAATGCTTCTTAAGAAGCCACTCCTTCGTTGCCCGGGCGGTGTGTTTGGGATCATTGTCATGCTGGCCACGTTTCATCTTCAATGCCCTTGCTGATGGAAGGAGGTTTTCACTCAAAATCTCACGATACATGGCCCCATTCATTCTTTCCTTTACACGGATCAGTCGTCCTGGTCCCTTTGCAGAAAAACAGCCCCAAAGCATGATGTTTCCACCCCCATGCTTCACAGTAGGTATGGTTTTCTTTGGATGCAACTCAGCATTCTTTGTCCTCCAAACACGACGAGTTGAGTTTTTACCAAAAAGTTCTATTTTGGTTTCATCTGACCATATGACATTCTCCCAATCCTCTTCTGGATCATCCAAATGCACTCTAGCAAACTTCAGACGGGCCTGGACATGTACTGGCTTAAGCAGGGGGACACGTCTGGCACTGCAGGATTTGAGTCCCTGGCGGCGTAGTGTGTTACTGATGGTAGGCTTTGTTACTTTGGTCCCAGCTCTCTGCAGGTCATTCACTAGGTCCCCCCGTGTGGTTCTGGGATTTTTGCTCACCGTTCCTGTGATCATTTTGACCCCACGGGGTGAGATCTTGCGTGGAGCCCCAGATCGAGGGAGATTATCAGTGGTCTTGTATGTCTTCCATTTCCTAATAATTGCTCCCACAGTTGATTTCTTCAAACCAAGCTGCTTACCTATTGCAGATTCAGTCTTCCCAGCCTGGTGCAGGTCTACAATTTTGTTCCTGGTGTCCTTTGACAGCTCTTTGGTCTTGGCCATAGTGGAGTTTGGAGTGTGACTGTTTGAGGTTGTGGACAGGTGTCTTTGATACTGATAACAAGTTCAAACAGGTGCCATTAATACAGGTAACGAGTGGAGGACAGAGGAGCCCCTTAAAGAAGAAGTTACAGGTCTGTGAGAGCCAGAAATCTTGCTTGTTTGTAGGTGACCAAATACTTATTTTCCACCAGAATTTGCAAATAAATTCATTAAAAATCCTACAATGTGATTTTCTGGATTTTTTTTCCTCAATTTGTCTGTCATAGTTGACGTGTACCTATGATGAAAATTACAGGCCTCTCTCATCTTTTTAAGTGGGAGAACTTGCACAATTGGTGGCTGACTAAATACTTTTTTTCCCCACTGTACATAATATGACATTTGAAATGTCTTTATTCTTTTGGAACTTCTGAGTGTAGTGTTTACTGTTAATATTTCTTTTTTATTTCACTTTTGTTTACTATCTACTTCACTTGCTTTGGCAATGTTAACATATGTTTCCCATGCCAATAAAGCCCTTAAATTGAAATGGAAGTTGAATTGAGAGAGGGATGGACCTGTGGGGAACAGAGAGCTAAAAAAAGAAAGAGCGACTGAAAGGGAAGATTGAAAGTGAAAGAACACATTAGTCAAGAGCAGGAATGGGCAACTTTGATGGGGCCACAAAAAATCTCATGAGGGGCCACAGTGACTCGCGTGTCTGCGTACCCACATCCATATCCACTCATGCTGTCAGAGCCGGCCCTTAGTAACATTTTGCCATGTGGCGCAGAGAAAAAGTTTCAGTTTTTATTATAATTTCTGAGTGAGTGGCTAACAAAATCAATGGAGGCCCCCGGTCGGTAATTCAACCATGGTTACTACTGGCCGCTAGACTAACTTACCAAACAAAAAAATGTTTGCTGACATGGGCTACTTGAGTGACTGTCAGTGACTGGCATAACGAGAAAAACTTCTGATGCACAACCAATTTTCTAAATTGCAACGTGTGTATTCTACTATTCTAACTCTCAACAGTAAGTTGAGACTTCGACTGAGTAAAACAATTTAAATTAAAATGTTTTTAGGAATTGATCTGCAGGCTTACAAAACTTGCCCATCTCTGGTCAAGAAGGACACTTAAATGTATATTGCAGTCAATGAGCGTTGTTGTTTTGTAGGGTCGAATAGGGACTATCAGAGAGGGACTGGCTGAAGATACAGCTCATATCAGAGGTACTATGTCAGAGGATCTTAAACCACAGACACTTATGTATTCAAATAAATACAGTGAATACTAAGCATCAGATCACCCATGTCCAAATAGTACTCTGGCTTGAAGGCAATAATATTCTGAATCATACATAATTTGCATGAGAAAAGGCAATATACGTACATACTGCTGGTTTTTGTGTGCTCAACTTTTTCCCCCCCAATTTTCAGCATGGAGATGAAATGATGTGTGTCTATGTTGTGTTCTCCTCCTGCAGCCCAGCAGACCGCCCCAGTCTCCACTACTCCCAAGTCCATAGTCAAACTGGTGGAGAATATCAATGCTCTGAGAGAAGCTCTCAGCTGCACTGATCTGCAGGTATGGTGGCCCACGTGGATCATTTAGCCCTATTATATGCACTGTCTAATAAGCAACACATTGCCTATTATTAATCTTCCATTTTTATGTAAGCCACTGTTGCAAACAGCACTTTTTTATTTCCAGTGACACATTGATGTAGTTGTTTCATTTTGTTTAGTTATATTGCAGTCAGAGGAGCCTAGTGAGCGGCGGACGGCTCATAAAAATTAATGGAATGGAGTGAATGGAATGGTATTAAACACATGGAAACCAGGTGTTTGATGTGTTTGAGCCCTTATGTGAAAACCACATGAATTTCACATACACGTTTTCATGTGATCACATGTGATCTTATGTGAAGTTAATGTGATAACATGACAACATGTAAAGCAACATGTGATAGCATGAAACTACACGTGAAAACATGATCACATGTTACAAAAAAAGCAAAGGTACTAAAACAAACCCCAAGCCTGGTACCTGGCCTGATAGTCTCTGAACAAAAATGTAATCCACACACTGGTATAATGCTTCTACATCTGCATTGCTTACTCTTTGGGGTTTTAGGCTGGGTTCTGTATAAGCACTGTGTGACATCTGCTGATGCAAAAAGGACATTATAAATACATTTGATTTTAATTTGATTTTAATCGTTCCAAAAACACATGACTTCAAATGTGAAATTTCATGTGAAATTGTGTGATTTTCCACATGTGAAACCATGTGGTTTTTCTGTAAAGGAGACCAATACATTTATTCCGTTCCAGTTATTACTATGAGCCTTCCTCCCCATTTAAAGTGCCACCAGCCACCACAGATTGTAGTACTATCTAACCACACTGGGGTGTGGTAGCTCTGATTACATTGAACATATTAGAAAACTTGGCATTGCAGAAAAAAGCAAAGGTAGTAAAACAAACACCAAGCCTGGTACTTGGCTTGATAGTCTCTGAACAAAACATTAATCCACACACTGGTATAATGCTTCAAAAGTGTTTAACAGGACAACGTTTCGTCCCCAAACTGGATCTTCGTCAGCTGCCGAACTTGAGTCGGGCATATTGTCAACATGGCAGTCAGGTGCTGGTAGTCTCTTTGAGCTGAGTATATGTCCACCTCTTCACCTGTCTGTCTGTCCACTGTGTAGGAGCTGGAAACACGGCTGGTCTCTCAGAAGGCCATCAGGGAGCAGCTGCAAACCCAGATGACCCAGTGTGAGGAGCTGGTCAGGCAGAGCATGGAGACCCTGGCTGCCCTGGAACTCCAGTACGCCCAGCTCAAGTTCAGCGCTGGGCCCGGCTCTGACAGGTACAGTAGAGCTACACAGAAAAGTAGTACTCCTGTGTCATCCGTAGAAAAAAGGAGAAAAGATCTGAAGGTACTTCAGATCTCGGGCCACAGAACTTGTGAAGACGAGGAGAGAGGAAATACAATTGAGATTCACCCTCTGTTTGTCTTAAGGTTTGAGCGGCTGAAGGAGGAAATGCAGGTGGAGCTTGAGCAGGAAGAGGAGCGTTGCAGCCATTGGGAGGACAAGCTTGGAAAGGCCCAATCAGTGCTGCACAGGGTGGAGAAGGGTGTCAACAACCTGTTCTTCAGGATGAGCTGCGTACAAGTGAAGGTAGCCATTTTATCCCTTTCTTTATATAGATGGACAGTTCAGTCTCATCTGGCCCTTTCTTGGTCACCTATCAGCCAGAAAATGTTGTTTCGGTGTTCCTCAAGGCTGTGTTCTTGGACCACTACTGTTCTCATTATACATGCTAGCCCTTGGTGATGTTATTCAGGAATAGAAAGGATCTTAATCCAAATGTCTCTGTCTTGTTGTAGGACTCTCCCAGGGAGTTGGGAGGTCTGGATGCCATAGAGAAGCTGAGGGAAATCGATGCCCGTCTGCCCACACTGCAGACCACAGCTTCAGAGAAGACTGAGGAAAACACAGCTGACCATGAGAAGGTGAAACTCTGGTTTACTTTCTTTCCTTAGCTCTCATCTCTGTCTACCTCTTTTCTCTGAGCCTGAATCTCTCAACTCTCCTCTCAAAGTTTGAGTTTTCATTTCTTCTTGTCTCACCTCTTTCCCTTCTGATCTCACCGCTCTCCCCTCAGGTGTGGAGCTTTCTGGAGCAGAGCACCATGATGGAGCCAAGGAACTACAAGAGGGCCAGCAGCCCTGTGTATGACAGTACCTCAGAAGGTATGCTTTTTCTTGGGTATATGGTTATGCATGGTTTTTCTGTATATTGTAAACAACATCTTATTAACAACAGGAAGCCATTCCTTACATTTCCATAATGGCTGTTGAGTGCTTGGCTAATGGTGTTTGATTGTTGTGTGTAACACCTCCTGTTGCACCTGCTCCTCACTGCTCCTTTCTGCTCCTTTCCTCCCGCTCAGACACATTCCGGTTCCGCAGTCAGGAGAAGGACTGCTCCCTGTCCCGCAAGGATATCAAGCGTCGCAGCATCCAGCTGATCGAGGTGCACCAGCCCAAGAAGAAAGCCCAGAGGTGCACCAAGAAAATCTAGAGACAAGCTCCAGAGAGAAGGACCAGACAGCTGTGGCCCTCTACATCCTACAGGGAGTAAGCCTGAGGAAATATTAAACAGGCTCATAGTAGGATTTTACTTTCTTTGTTGTCTACTTTATACCTGAGTTTGTTACTGCTATGATTAAAGTGGAACTGACAGCGTTTTAGCAACATGAAATCCTATTAAAATCTGTTCACATTTTTGACAAGCGAGCACTTAGATATGGTCATTTTCATAAATTTATAGAATATTTGGGAATGACGTATAGTAAGGCATTTATGAAAATTCTATAGCAATATAGAGTGGGAAAGCGGCCATCTACAGTGGGGAAAAATAGTATTTAGTCAGCCACCAATTGTGCATGTTCTCCCACTTAAAAAGATGAGAGAGGCCTGTAATTTTCATCATAGGTACACGTCAACTATGACAGACAAATTGAGAGAAAAAAATCCAGAAAATCACATTGTAGGATTTCTTATGAATTTATTTGCAAATTATGGTGGAAAATAAGTATTTGGTCACCTACAAACAAGCAAGATTTCTGGCTCTCACAGACCTGTAACTTCTTCTTTAAGAGGCTCCTCTGTCCTCCACTCGTTACCTGTATTAATGGCACCTGTTTGAACTTGTTATCAGTATAAAAGACACCTGTCCACAACCTCAAACAGTCACACTCCAAACTCCACTATGGCCAAGACCAAAGAGCTGTCAAATGACACCAGAAACAAAATTGTAGACCTGCACCAGGCTGGGAAGACTGAATCTGCAATAGGTAAGCAGCTTGGTTTTAAGAAATCAACTGTGGGAGCAATTATTAGGAAATGGAAGACATACAAGACCACTGATAATCTCCCTCGATCTGGGGCTCCACGCAAGATCTCACCCCGTGGGGTCAAAATGATCACAAGAACGGTGAGCAAAAATCCCAGAACCACATGGGGGGACCTAGTGAATGACCTGCAGAGTGCTGGGACCAAAGTAACAAAGCCTACCATCAGTAACACACTACGCCGCCAGGGACTCAAATCCTGCAGTGCCAGACGTGTCCCCCTGCTTAAGCCAGTACATGTCCAGGCCCGTCTGAAGTTTGCTAGAGTGCATTTGGATGATCCAGAAGAGGATTGGGAGAATGTCATATGGTCAGATGAAACCAAAATATAACTTTTTGTTAAAAACTCAACTCGTCGTGTTTGGAGGACAAAGAATGCTGAGTTGCATCCAAAGAAAACCATACCTACTGTGAAGCATGGGGGTGGAAACATCATGCTTTGGGGCTGTTTTTCTGCAAAGGGACCAGGACGACTGATCCGTGTAAAGGAAAGAATGAATGGGGCCATGTATCGTGAGATTTTGAGTGAAAACCTCCTTCCATCAGCAAGGGCATTGAAGATGAAACGTGGCTGGGTCTTTCAGCATGACAATGATCCCAAAAACACCGCCCGGGCAACGAAGGAGTGGCTTCGTAAGAAGCATTTCAAGGTCCTGGAGTGGCCTAGCCAGTCTCCAGATCTCAACCCCATAGAAAATCTTTGGAGGGAGTTGAAAGTCTGTGTTGCCCAGCGACAGCCCCAAAACATCACTGCTCTAGAGGAGATCTGCATGGAGGAATGGGCCAAAATACCAGCAACAGTGTGTGAAAACCTTGTGAAGACTTACAGAAAACGTTTGACCTGTGTCATTGCCAACAAAGGGTATATAACAAAGTATTGAGAAACTTTTGTTATTGACCAAATACTTATTTTCCACCATAATCTGCAAATAAATTCATTTAAAAATCCTATAATGTGATTTTCTGGATTTTTTTTCTCATTTTATCTGTCATAGTTGACGTGTACCTATGATGAAAATTACAGGCTTCTCTCATCTTTTTAAGTGGGAGAACTTGCACAATTGGTGGCTGACTAAATACTTTTTTTCCCCACTGTATTTGGACAATTAATAGACACTGCAGTAAATAAAACCTAATAAAAACATCTGTCTTGTCCAGGACCGGAGTCTGCGCAGACCAGTGTGCCATAGCCAATCAGAGCTACAGTAGGCCTATAGGCAAATAAGCCATTTGCTACATGGGCCTGCCATCATACACTTTAAACTGGACTGTGTGTTTACAGGCAGTAGTAACAGCGTGACATTAGATCATTAGAACGCATTCGCCAAAAGCCACTAAATACACCTGAATGGATTTCTGCAAATTTGTAAGTACCACAGGAGTCCTCTTACATTTGGGAACTTCACAGTCCTATTTACATTTTAGTCATTTAGCAGACGCTCTTATCCAGAGCGACTTACAGTTAGTGAATACATCTTTTTTTTATTTTTTTTATTTTTATACTGGCCCCCCGTGGGAATCAAACCCACAACCCTGGCATTGCAAACACCATGCTCTATCAACTGAGCTACATCCCTGCCGGCCATTCCCTCCCCTACCCTGGACGACGCTGGGCCAATTGTGCGCCGCCCATGAGTCTCCCGGTCGCGGCCGGCTGCGACAGAGCCTGGATTCGAACCAGGATCTCTAGTGGCACAGTTAGCACTGCGATGCAGTGCCTTAGACCACTGCGCCACTCAGGAGTACATATTGATCAAACAACCATGAAAAGGTAGGCTATCTCTCCCTCAGTTGCCTATGCACATCAACAACAACTAATGCTAGCCAGAGCGAGATAAGCTAAAATCTAACGAGGGAACATTAGATGAACCCTCTCAAACTTTTTAAACTAGTTGGCCATCAAAATTGCACTGAAACGATGGGGAATAGTAGCTTGCTCGTCCTTCTGCATCTTGCCTGCCAATGCATGCTTGTCCCAACCCACGTTTTGACAACTGAATAGGAACATGCCTGCCTGCCCGCCCATTTGATCGATGCCAAATACATTTGATTGACAACTAAGAGATATGCTAATTGTGCATAACAGTCGTTTAAGTTCAGCATAGCTAGCTAGCTAGCAAAGTGATTCACATTTCTTGCTAGCTAACCAAATGACACCTGCATCTCTAGCTGTAGCCACCAAAACACGATATGAGTGGAGTCGGTCACTCACCCCCTCCTCCAATGACATGACATCCTCCCAGCAACTAGCTAGCTAGATAACATTAGGCTCTGTGTTTTTAGCTTGCGAAATAAATAGCTAGCTACATAGATAAATACGCTAGCCCAGGGGTGTCAAACTCAATCAGCGGATGGACCATATTGAAAAAAACACTACGAATTTGCAAGCCAGACATAGCCTATTTGTTTTTACAAAAAAACGTGCAACTCTGAAGCAAACTGGCCATTTGTTTTATTCAAAATAAATATGCACCTTTTATAATGTCCATTTATAGGATGCTGTGTATAGCATTTTAACATATTAAAACAAAAGAGATAAATAATATTTGTCCAGCCTTTGCTGCTATGCTTGCAGATGTGCATAATATGCTGCGACCCTAATCAAAAAGTATTTAACAACTCCAAATAACAAAAACATGGCTATAGGTTGCTGTAACATTTAGGGTGGGTTGCACCAACATGGTTTAAATGATCTAGGATTAGAGCTAATCTAGGTTTTGTAAATCTAGGTTTATAATTAAGCAGAGATGTGTTGCACCACTTAATTTTAAATCTGGATCAGTAAATCTATGATTAACGGTTTTAAACTATGATTAGTGACATGTTACACCAATATATGAGGTATTTCGTGAGTTGAAACGAAGTAGCTAGCCTACTTGACAAATGAGGCCACAAAGTTGCTGTGCCTTGATAAAATAATAACAATGCAATGTTAGAACTACTGCAACTCCATCGTGAAAGGTTCTCATGGGTTGGCTGATTTGAAATAAAATCTGTTATTTATCAGTACTAGACAGAAAATTAATTTGTTTGCTAACGTTAGCTACTGTAGCTAGCTAGTTTATAAACCAAGCTAGCTAGCATAAAATATAATTTATTGTCATTACTTAATGTTATTTAGCCATTTATTATTTGTCCGCTAGCCACCTGATCATGGCATGTCAAAAAGTTCAAATTTCTCTGCTTATGAAAATAACCTCTTGTAGGAGCTGATGGAGGAAATTAGTAAGTTACTGGAGGATTAAAAGACAGACAACACGACTGTCAAAAAGAAGGAAGACACCTGGACCATTTTATGCGACAGATTTAATTGATCAACACTGATTAAAGAGAAGAGGGACCCAAATCGGATGAAGGCGTGCTGGAAAAATGTAAAAGCCAAAAAGGATGCGGCAGAGGAGAGGCGGGGGCAATTTCAGACCGGAGGGGGGCCTCCGTTCAAGGGAACTGATCCTCTCTCCCAGAAGATATGCGAGATGATTCCCCAGCAGTTTGCCCCTCTCCTTAACCCCTATGATGACGACGGACAACTCGACCCACCAATATTTAGTAAGCATAAATAACTGGTAAATATCAATGACTATAATGCACGTTAAAACTAACGTTAATGCTACTTCACTACAATGTTACCATTATCAGGCCCATTACAGCATGTTGCATAACATCATCATTCGTACCAAGGCTGGGCATATCATAAGCCCCAATTCAATTGTTGTACGTAAATAGCCTACTAATAATGAGTTAATTTTCTGTCTTTCCTTTCCTTTAGTTGAGCTGACACCCTGTACCATGGAGAAACAGCAGTGCCTGGATCTTGCACCAGCAGCAAAAACACCAGACAGGCCAAGCAAACGCCCCAGAACTGACATGAACCAAGCTCATATGGATGTTTTGGAGCTGGAGAGAGAAAAATCTACTGCAGATTGAGGTCCTGAATTTACAGAAAGAGCTCTTGCTACTACTTCAGGGAAACAAATGCCCACTGTGTAAAGAATGCTGATCTTTTTATTTATTTAAGCAATTCTTTATATAAGCAACAATGATTTCCCAAGCAATTTGGTTTCCTCCAGTCTTGTCCCCACTCTTGAGTTCTGGTGCTTCTAGTTCCACCCTGTATGGTATTGAGAATAACAAAGTCTAAATAATACATTTGAATACAGATAGCCAA